TAGCATTAATTCCCCACCCAAATCTGTAGTTTCCAAGTTAAATTTAGATTAATTATCAATTCTTTTAAACTACCCCAGAAAAATGTTATGGCTACCCCCCCATTTAAGCAATAGTGACCCACAACCCCCAAAAATAAAAATTTAACACCATCCCAAACTCTCCATCCCCACCTGTGCCCTATTCTTTCCTTGTGTTTCCCCAGAGCATTTTCTGCTATCTCCTTTGAAGCAAACTGCACGAAGGCCTCCCCTGTGCTTCTCCCCTGGTAGTCCATCGTCAATGTTATCCCATTTGGCACGATTTCCAACCCTTTAACCCAAGGACAAATAACCCCATCAAGGGGAACAGTGTTAAAGGCTGAAACATTCCCATCTGAATCAAATATTTAAAACAAGTCTAAACAAAACAAAACAAAAAAGCTTAGTTTCCCATCACCCCATAAATACAAATGAAAGATTTTTTTCAAATAATACTGGATTAAATAAATCTTTTTTGCGACCAGTGTAAAAACACTGTGTAATTACACACACTCTAAAAGCCCACCTATATTACACGAAAAAAGGCTACAAATCGAATATATGCTCCATATACTAATTCACGGTTCATTTCATCACAATTCTCAAATATGTTACTGCACATTAATTAGGTTTTACATATTATACACATTCTGTATTGAATATTAATTGGAGCATATTATTTTAATACATTAACCAAGACTATCATAGTTAAACTTCAAAGTTCCAAAATCAAAATGGGTTTTACAAATTAAAAACAGTGAAACAATACAAATATAAAATTACAGTATTACTAAACTTTGACTAATACTAGAGGTACCTTGAAAGAACTGAACTATTTCCTCTTTGCTGCAACCAAATGGTAGTCCACGAAGTCGTACTGTCCCATCACTAGCGTCATTTGGACCATTATGTTTCATAACCCAATCCATCTCAATACCGTTTGATTTAAATGCTATAAAAAATAAACAAGCACATAGAGCAGTCAATCAAAACATACTCTTGTCAAGAGGTAATGAAGAAACACCTCTCAGAGGTGCCACAAGAGGAAATGTAACATGGCGCCAACTCCCGTGACAATGCCATGACAAAACTGTAGACCACCTTTCATATTTTGGGGTAGGGAAAAGGCAATGAGACCTGAGCCCTCCAGTACTGAATTTCTTAGTATCAATATTATGTATTGCCTAATTTTAAGAAAACTTGCATAATTCTACTACCAGAGTCTTCAAACTATTTGACTGTGTCCCCTGAATGCCACCTCTAGCCTTTCCTTATCTCTCAACTTTTGATTCACCACTTTTCAGGTTTTTATTCACCTGATTATTCAAATTCTTTAAAACTTACTCAGAAGTTGCATGTAATACCAATATCCACTAACATCAAGAGCCTAAGTAAAAAATGCAATGAGTACTGACTCATGTTGGAAAAATATCACATAAGTCTAACCCTTTTAAATGCACTACAATTTTGAACACATCAAACTGTCTTTGAAGGGCCAACACTCTCACCTCTATTTTAGCCAAATCTAGTTTAAACTCACCAAGAGTAAGATTTTAAAATGACTGAATTAATTAGATTAAAACTGAGGTCAAAGGCTGCTCAAAAGTGAATGCCTTCCAACAGTACCTGTGTTTTTGAAGCCACTGGACAGTGTATAGAAACCAGTTTACTCAACTTTTTAATCAAATAGATTTAAACACAAACTTTAAAAAATACGTAATATACTTTTTAATAAAGCATAAAAGGTGTATCTAGAAGCCCCCCTTCCCCTCCAAAATGACTTCAGTTCCCAGTTCCCTTCCCCAGAGGCAACCATCCTTCCGTTTAAAATTACATAGTATTTACAAAAGAGGCGAATGCAGAAGTCCTTCAGCTGCAGAAACTTACCAGAACCTTACAAATTTCACTATGCAGCTGTAGGAATCCTACTCACCTGAGTATTTCAAACCTTTCCCTCACCACCTCCTCCCCTGTAAACAAAACAATTTGTTCATTTGATTCCTTTATGTTTGAAGATCATATTTCGTATCAACAGCATTCACTAATGCTTAATTTCATGTCATCTATTTGTTGGTGCAACTCTTAGGGGTGGCATCTGCAAAGGGTAAAGTTTTTTTTTCCTAGAATTCATGCATTTAAAATATGCACACAAATAAATAGTATGAATCCCTATTCTGCCGTTCACTGGTTACCTAAACCATTTAACCTCTGAGCCTCTTCAATTGTAAACTATAGCAGTGGTATCTATATCTCACTGCACTATTCAAGTGCTTGGTCTGCCTCATGTTAAGCATTTACTGATGGCAACTGTTACTGGATTTTAAGGGGCCCTGCAAAAGCCAACAAGATATACCATACACAAAATATGTGAACCTTAAAGGACAGAAAACAATTCAAACCTCGAAGAGAACTGAGAATTGTTAAAAATTTTATTTCCCAAAGCCAGCGAAGGCTTTTAAAAGTTTAATACTGAAGAGTAGCTTTGAGAGGAGGAGGCCCCAACCCAGTTTGAAAAAAAAAAGTTCAGAGATGTTTTGAAAACGCCTACCGTTTTATTTTTTTTAAATAGCACCAACCTAAAAAATAAGTGTTTCCCATAAAGGGTGATTTACACAGAACGGAAAAAGTGGTACAGATCTACCCTCACTGCTTCATGAAAAATTTAAGAACTCTGCAAATTCAACCTTAATCTGTTGTGAAAGGATCTTAGTAGTTTGCATTTAAGGAGCAAATGCTTAAAAAAAAAAAGAAAAAAAGAAAAAATAACTTTACTCATAAATCTTACCAATTCACAAGAAAAAAATACCAGCAAGCCAATTGGATTTTTGGATCGGTCTGTACCAATGATAAGACCCAATGAAAACAAAAAAGTGTTATCGATGTTATCTATAATAAACACTAAACTGTTAACACAACTTTTAATTGCGTAAAACCCAACCGAATTCGGAACACTTAATCTATTTTACAGGGTGACCCTGTATGCAAAGCACATACAATAATGAGAGCCTCACTCTACCAACCCCTTCAAAACTAAAAATCCTACCTACAAAACGAAAACAAGAAAAACTCTAAGGGCACAGGAAGAAGCAATCTGCTCTAATAAAGCTGTCAGAAACTACTTAAAACACTTTACTAATTATTCAGGATAATCCACCTCAACCTTTCTTTGCAACAATGTCATGGCTAATCACTACTCTGCTTTAAGAATTCTAGGTGCTAGTACCAATAAAATATACCACAGTTAAAATATGAGGATGGCTTTGGTCAGTTTTATGAGACTTTAAATATAATTTTTTAAACATTACACCAAGTGAAACAAGCCAGTCACAAAAGACTACATATTGTATAACTCCATTTGTATTCATGATTGTCTGAGGCTTGACGGGAGGGAGAATGCCAGCAAGGGGAATGACCAGTAAAGGGTATTGGTATCTTTTTGGAGTGACAAAAATGTTACAAAATTAAATTGTAGTGACGGTCACACAACGCTGTCAATGTACTAAAATCCACTAAAATGTACATTTAAAATTGGTGAAGTTTATGGTATGTGAATTATATACCGAAGTCATTAAAGAAAAAACATCCACTAGAGAACAAATGACATAGAGAATCCTCTTAACACGGAGGCACAGCCTATCTTCTGAAGTAATGCATAAACGACTTTATGCATCAATAAATAACTTTCTAAATGGCAGCCCAGTGGTCAAGAAATGAGAATGAATTTTATTTTTTGGAAAAAGTGCTGATGATCTAAGTTTAACAGAAAATGTACATCATTCCTTCCCAATGGGCTTGCTCTTTAAAAAAACAAAAACACTAGACACGCCCCTAACAGCTTAAGGAGGTAAGGTTTCTAAAATGTTAGTTTACTATGAACCATGTTTTTATCTACTGCAATTTAGTCAGTTGTTTACCAATACAACGAAATCAAAGATAACATTATTTTAAAAAGGCAGTAAGATGGACTTCCAGATAATGGCACAACTGAAAAAGAGGACAGAAAAAAGGTGTGTGTGTGTAGTCCAATCCAATTAGTAAAGCTATTTGTTATAGCATATATAACTTTATAGGACAGGCTGGACTATCTTTTCAAAGGGCCACTCAAAGCTACTGTTTCAAGGTAAGATTTTCGTAAACTTTTCCTCGGCAATCTTGACAAAGCATCACTGAACATCTTCAACAATAGTAAGTTTTTGTTTTTAGAGCTGGAAAAGTAGGTAACAATATTCTTAAAAAGTTTTACATAAATTATCAGAAATTCTTACTCTCAGGCCTTTCCCGTCCCTTTTGTACTATGTCTTCAATGAAAATTACGGATCCAGTTCTCAGGACCCTCATCCGAATCACACCACCACCACGTGACTGGGTTTACAATTTGTTTTTCTGTTTAATAGGCTTATTCCCTTGTTTAAAATACGATTACAGTGTACTATACTCCTACATTTAAAAAAAAAAAAAGGCCTAGACACCAAAAGAAAATAAGCCATAACCGTATTTTGAAGTATTTTACTTCTAGAGCCTTAATGCCAAGAAAAAAAAAAACTGCACAAAATACAACTCTTGGAAGATTTAATATCGAAAGGAACTCAATTCCAATACATACACATCTACCATCACTGGGTTGTTTTAACTGTTTCCCAAAAGTGAAACTTAAAAACAAAGTCTAATATAGATGCCAAACTACGCAAAACAATTGCTACATCACCCACCCCCACCCCCAAAGTTCAAAAAGCAACAATCACAGTTCACTGGGCCCAGACGACCTACTTGAAACATGCCCATTTCACATTCCTATTTGATAAATCACCCACTTTTCTGCTTACAAAATCACCCCCGAAGTCCTTATTAACGTTTAAACATGAAGAAAAAAAAAAAAAAAAACCCTTTGGAAGATCAGTACGTACTCTTTTCGAAGTTCCAAATCTGGAATATAAGGGCCGGCTAAGCGTCCTTTATTCCTCCCAGGAGACTTTCCGTTTATCTAGCTGCCCTAGAGACCAGAGAGCTAGGGAGAGTACGCCCCTTCCCCCTCCCGCCAGCAGCCGCCTGGCTTAAAAACCCTTCGCCACCGGGCGGCGGAATTACAAAGGAGGCCGTCTGCCTCCTTTGTCCTGGATTTGAGAGTTGAGCACCTTCGTCGCCATTGGCTTTCCTCCCCCAGCTCCAGCCTCTCTCATCTTGGGAATCTGCGTCAGAAGTCACTCGCAGTCCCGTCAGCCCAGGTAGCCCTGCCGAGACTGCGGAGGAAGGGAGGCCGCGGTGGGAGGCCAGGCCCATCCGGCGCCATTTCCATCGGGAGCGCGCCCGGCAACCCCGATCCTCCCTCCACCCAACTGCCCGGTCTTTCCCTGCTTGCTTCACTACCCACCCTCATCCCTTCCAGGGAGCTTTGACCACCCCCTCCCCTGGCCTTCTAAATCAGTTTTCGGAAGCTGGGAGACAAAAAGTAAAAAGAGCGGGGAAGGGCGGGAAGCCGAGGTGGCCGCGCCACTGTACCCAAAATGGCGGAGGCCAAGCCAGCAGGGAAAGGGGGAAATGCTGGATGTCCCCTACTTCGGGCCTCGGCGTCGTCCACTGAGTTCCACCTGAGCAAGTCCTCCCATCGGCAGGCCGCCCTCCTTGAAGTGGGAGATGGTCCGGGAGGCGCAGCCCCGCCGCTTCCAAGCGGCGGCCTCCGAGCGGCGACCACCGCACTACCCCCCAACCCAGCCCCTCCCGGCCTCTTTCGTCCTTCTCCCGACTCCGCTCTCGAAACCACCAGCCCAACCTACCCCCTTTTACTTCAGATACCCTGTCAGGCGATAGTTACGCCGACTCTGCTGCTCGCGGGGTCCAGTCGAGAGAAGGGAGAAGTCGTTTGCCTCGTGTAGCGCTCACCACAACGGTTCTCCCAACCGTCTCCAGCGGTGACAACCGCTTAGGGAGCTGCGCAGCACAGCAACTGGCTTGGGGGGATGGGAGGGAGCGAGCAAGAAGTGGGGGGCGGAGCGAGAACTGCGAAGGCGCCCGGCCCCGCTCTCGCGAGACGGGAAAGTCAGGTTCGCCTGGCGCTGGCAGCACGAAACGCGCCTGCGCGGTGGTGGGCTGCCCAGCTGTTGGGGGCGAGGTAGACAGAGCAGAGGCTAGTCCAGGTAAAGAGCTGTCGTGTGTGCAGTCTTTCTTGCTTACGGTAGAACCATCCAGTTTTCAGGGCATACCATTCTGCCGCCTCGGGGCGATGGCAATGACAGTTCTGCCAGTGTGTAGAAGGAACTGTGCTGTCGCGGTCTGGAGAAGTTCTCCAGTGATCTGTCCCCACCGTGAACAAATTACGTGAGGGCCCCGCCCTTGCTCGGCATCGACGGCGCGGAAAGGGCGCCACGTGGTTCGGCCGGCAGACGCGGGGCGGATTTTCTGGTCCACCATGTTTGCATTGTGCAGTGAAAAATAGAAGTGTTTCTGGGCCGCGAAGATGAAAACGTCCACCGAGGCCGATTTCGGCTCTCGGGCTGGGTGTCCGCCTCCTGGCCCGGAGCTGCTGGCCGTCCCCCAGCGCGCTTCGTCCCGGTGCGCCGCGCGGGACCCGGGTTTCTTGGGTGAATTCCTGTCCACGTTTCCGTTCTCTCTGCAAATCCTTCCTCTCTTTCTCCTCTGGCCTTCGCGTTTTCATCTCTCCCGCCGTCAGTGCCTCGGGGACTGATTAGCCTGTGGAGGCCGACGTTGGGTTGTTTTCTATAGTTTTGCGTTGTTGAAAATTGCGCTTCCAAGTGACATCTAATAAGTACATTTTGGTTTTGCAGTCATGCCACTAAGGTTCTTAATGACACATTATGGCCTTTTTTTTAAGTTCCAAAAAAGGCCGGCCGCGGTAGCTCACGCCTTTGAGAGGCCGAGGCGGGAGGATCGCTTGAGCCTAAGGGTTGGAGACCAGCCTGGGCAACATAGGCGCTGTCTCTACAAAAAATACAAAGATTAGCTGGGCGTGATGGCAGCGCACGGGAGTAGATGGGACTCCCGAGTAGTCCCAGCTACTCGGGAGGCTGGGCAAGAGGATGGTTTGTGCCCTGGAGGTTGAGGCTGCAGTGAGTCGTGATTGCACCAGTGCGCTCCAGCCTGGGCGACCTTGTCTCAAAAACAACAACAAAAAAAAAACCCGAATTTCTGCGCGAAGAGTTAAGGGGAAGCCTGGGAAAGAGATCAGTGCAAGTTCATCCTGGCTAACACGGTGAAATCCTGTCTCTACTGAAAAAAAAAAAAAAAAAATTAGTCGAGCGTAGGTGGCTTGCCCCTGTAGTCTCAGCTACTCAGGAGGCTGAGGCAGGAGAATGGAGTGGACCCAGGAGGTGGAGCTTGTAGTGAGCCGAGATGGCACTACTGCACTCCAGCCTTGGTGACCGAGCGAGACTCCGTCCCACACCCTCCCACACACACAAAAAATCAGTGCAAGTTCCAGTGCAAAGCGTCAGGAAGATGGCGTAATGTTAGAAATGTGGGTGAAGCTAGATTGTAGATAGTCTTCAATGTCTGGCCAAAAGACTTTGAACTTTGTGGTACAGACATTGGGAAGTCTGTTGGAGGTAGGGTGAGAGGTGTTAGCAACGTAGGAGGATGTATAATTTTTTCTCCCATGAGATCTGCAGTGTGTAGGATGTAAGACATTTTAAGGCTTTAATTCATCCTCAAACCTGCCTAAGACGAGTGTGGGGCAGTAAGAACATGGTGCTCACATACCCACAATGGCCCACTCCCTAAAAGTACTGAGTGGAAGGCAGAAAGGACAGTGTTATCACAATTAAAAGAGATGGAAAACCAAACAAGGATGCTGTGATAACAATGGCTCATATTTATTTTTCAGGGTTGTAAAGAGTCAGCAAATTGAGTACAGTGTGTAGCATAACCTACACACTGTACTCTTACAACCCTGAAAAATAAGTATCTTCATTTTATAGATGAAGTGCCTAAGTCCTAGAGAAGTGAAAATAGTTGCCCAAGGTCACACAGTTGAGTGGTAGAGCTAGAATTGGAGCCCATATGGTTTTACCCAAGGGCCAGGGTCTTAAAACACTATGAACCTTCGTGAGGTTACAAATATCTATAACTTAAGGAAACAGACATCATTTTTGGAAAATTGAGGTTATGTCACCTAATTAACACTGGAGTTACCATTTCAGGAGACCTGTGGTTACTAGCTTACTGGCTGGAGACTTTTTGAACAGGCCTGAAACTTTATAGTCCCATTATCACTGACACTGTGAGTCCCAACCCCTCTCCCTCCTTTTAAAAAAATAATTGCTGTATTAATAAGACTCTAAGCTCCCACAATCCTGATGGAGTTCTTCCCTTGGTCCTCCTGGGTTCAAGTTACATGGCTATTTTTATCCTTTCGGTCTTTCAGACTGATTTGGTAGATGGAATTCTGTAATCTCCTTCACTCCTTGCTTGAATTCAATTTGTTTTACTGCCTGACTGAATTTGGCATTCCTGCCGCATATTTTGTGTGGTTATGGGTCACAATCTGAAAATCATTCTAATGACATGAATGATTTTTCACTACCAAACTGCTGCTTGCTTGCTTGCTTGCCATAATTTCTTTGGATTAGGCACTCTTTGCCAATGTGCATGCTCAGGAAGGACTTGAAATTGGTTTACACATTCCCTTTGCCTTTTTATTGTTACAGTAGGAAGTTTTGAGTTAAAAAATACACTATATAGGCTGGGTGTGGTGGCTCATGCCTGTAATCCCAGCACTTTGGGAGGCTGAGGCAGGTGGATCACGTGAGGTCAGGAATTTGAGACCAACCTGACCAACATAGTGAAACTCTGTCTCTACTAAAACTACAAAAATTAGCTGGGCATGGTGGCACATGCCTATAATCTCAGCTACTTGGGAGACTGAGGCACAAGAATTGCTTGAACCTGGTGGGGCAGAGGTTGCAGTGAGCCGAGATCGTGCCACTGCACTCCAGCCTGGGTGACAGAACGAGTCTCCGTCTCAAAACAAAAAACAAAACGCTACATAGGCATAAATGTACATTTTATTTGGCTTCCTATTTTACTACTTCTCTTAAAACAACAACAACAACAACAACAAAATCTTGTCAACTATTCCCATTTGCAAGTTGTATCCTGTAAATAAGGCTTGGTGAGACTGGCTCACCACTGCTCCAGTGATCCCTACAGAATTGTTTCCAGACCTATCTCTGTGGAATTGTTTCCATAGAGATGGTTAGAACCAAGGACTCCCAGCTGCTTTTGGGACTTTCTTTGTCTTCCTTTCCATCATTCCAGTGCTTTCCTGTTAGCACAGAGATCAGAGGGACCCTGGAGAGGATCTTGTTAGAGACCATAATGAAAGAAAAGATGAAAAAGGAAAAGGAAATAGAAGTACCCATGCGACCCAGAGGAAAACAAGACAACGAACACGTGATCATGTGTTACACCATCAGGTTGAAGAGGAGAGGAAAATTCCGTGCAGAGCCTGAGAGAAAAAAAGAAAGAGAAATGGAAGAGATTACACCCTTGCGGGGGAGGGAAGGCACATAAACGAAAATTTGGTTAAGATATTTGTTCACATATCCCCAATGGCATTGTAAAGTACCATAAAAACTGGATTATCATAATCTTTTGCCTATATGAAAAGCAAATAAGCTAAAAAATGTAACAAAATCCATTAAATCTCATCTAATTAAGGTAGTTAATACCTTTTAAACACTAAGTTTGTGTAAGACTGTGAAATGCTTATTCTTTGGTTTACATCCTATATATCTATTGTCTTTAGAAAACACTGATCTCCTTTACTATGGTTCAACATTGTTTCTGAAGACAAGGCTGAATTACACAGTTTATATTCTTGATATTTTTTTGTTTCTCTGAGTCACCTAAGTGTTCTTTGTGAATCTGGCAACCAAAAGACCTATTCAATCTTAATAATTATACTAAGTAAACAAATGAAAACTCAAAAGGAAGAAAGCACCTAAACACATTTTTTCTCTAATTTTTGAAAATAAACATTCTTTTTGTTCCAGTGAATTGCTGTGAAGGCTAGGGAAAGTGGCTTAAAAAGATAGCTACTTAAATAATTGAAATCAAATTATTATACTGCTTTTCGTATGTCATAAGCACATTAATAACTTCGAAAATACAGCATTGATAATACGGTAATAGACCATTTCCCCCAACGTGAATTTTTTTTTTTTTTTGAGGTGGAATCTTGCTCTGTCGCCCAGGCTGGAGTGCAGTGGCA